GTTCAAGCCAGATAGGTTTAATTCTGTTTATGGGAGTTTAATTCAATTCAGTTCTAGCTAGTTCAGCTGTTTCTAGGTCTATTCACACTATTGACAATTCAAGTCAGAATTCAGTTCAAACTAGTTCAGCTCTTTCTAGTTCTGTTCATTCAAGTATTGATCACTTCAATTCAAGTCAGATCACTTTAGCTCTTACTGTTTTGGTTCTGTTCTGTTCAGTTTATTTAAATTGAATTTTTTTCACTCAAGAATTCCCCCAAATCTGAGGAGCACGGTGTACTGTAATGCCATTGCAGCTGGTGGTGTTGAGGAGTGGAATTTTGGATGGGAGATGTTCAAGAACAGTACTATTGCTGCAGAGGCAGAGGAACTGTTGTTTGGTCTAGCATGCACTAAAGAGCCTTGGCTGTTAAACAGGTGAGCCCTATATATACTGCATCCTAGAACATACACTATTGTTCAAATGTTGTTTTTGGGGTTTTTTTGGGGGGGGGGGGGGGTTCAAAAGTGCATAAGTAATAATGTTTCAAAAGATTTCTATCTATCAAATGTTTCTTGAGCAGCAAATTAGAATGATTTCTGAAAGATGATGCGACACTAAAGACTAGATTAATGATGCTGAAAATTCAACTTTACATCACGGAAAATAAATACAATTTTGAATAGAAAACAGTTATTTTAAATGGTAATAATATTTCACATTAGTGTTTTTACTGTAATTTTGATCAAATAAATGCAGCCTTGATGAGCATTAGAGACTTTAAAAACATTTTAAAAATCTTACTGACCTTTTGAACAGTGTAGCATGTGAGACAGAAGTCTGTTTATTTCAATGAATTTGTTTTAAAGGCCACTGAAGTGCCTTGGAACGTGCAGCTTTGTATGATGCGTTGACGTAATTTCCATTGAAACAGGAAGCTAAGGCGGGAAATATTGAATGGCTCCTCGCGCCGTTTTCAAATAGCCAATAGCGTTTAGTTTACCTCACAGACTGCAAGTCGTTCTTGACAGCACCATACGTTGGACTGTGTGAATAAATTCTAACTATTTCATTCTTAACCAACGTAGTTGTAAAACGTTTGAGTAACCGAACACACATCTCCAACCCATCTTGCTCCGCGACGTGTCAACGGTCGCTTTGGCCAGGTGGTATTTATAGCACAGGGGGCGGGACGCTTTAGATTCTGAGCATTTGATTGGACAGAAGATGTGATGAGAAGCTGAAGTCCGCAGTGATGCCATAAAAATCCGTCATCCATTTTAGCGGAAGTGAGAGACTGTAAGTCTCCTAAATGCGAATTTTGTCATTGGTTTGGAACATACCAGCTTATTTATAACCTTAAGGCTAACATATTCATACTAAAAGCCAAGAAAGCTAAAATTTTGATTTCTTCGGGGGATGTTGAGGAAAATATTCCACTGTAAGTTGAACACGCCTACTTGAACACTTGGGCCAAATACAGGAAATATGTCATGTAAGTAGACAAGTGGTCAAGTGCAAAGACTGCAAGTGTATTTAGACAGGGAAATTGACAGACGTCAGACGCTGAGCAACCGAAACAGCGGCCACCTTTTACAGTTCCTCCCGATCCAAAACAACAAGCTTATGCTGCTTTCACGCCATAACTACTGTAACTTGGTAGAGATGAAAAATCCATGACGTTATACTCTGAGCGCTTTGTGACTCGAATGAATGCGTTTCAATGGCAACACTATCAACGGCGAAATGAATCTGCAGCAGTCAGGGGGTACAGGTCTGTGCTCTTTAAGTTAAGTTCATTATTATTGTAATGTCATGTGCTCTGAGACATGAGGTAGTTTAACGCCGTCTCTCGTGACGGTTTTGTTTGCTCTCTGCTGTACACGTTCATGTGTTTTGGAGGAGGAATGGCTTTGGGAATGGGAGGGTGGGATCTAATGCTTTCAAAGCTAGCTCAAGTCAACTTGTAGATGTAATATATACTCATGTAATTGCCTTTTGTTTTTTAAAGGTACCTGGAATACACAACAGATCCAAACCTGATTAGGAAGCAGGGCGTTATCTTTGCTGTTGTGTATGTTGCGGGCAATGTAATAGGCCAGCCGTTGGCTTGGGACTTCCTCAGAGCCAACTGGGAGTATATAATTAAAGAGTAAGTAGTGCATTTCCTTCTTTCAACAAAACACGCAGTATTTACTCTCTACTGACTTTTTCTGTTACGTGATATCTATAGTTCCGATGCAAGACCCTTATTTGAAAATCTGATTGACGGCGTCACAAAAAAGTTTTCTACAGAATTTGAACTGCAACAGGTTTGTACTATTTTAATAAGAGGTTGCTTTTGGGATGGGTCAAATATAAAACAAACATTAATACAATGCCGTTCAAACGTTTAAGATTGGTATGCTTTTTTCACTCTCTCTTGTGCTTACTAATTCATTTATTTGATCAAAAATATAGTAAAATATTGCGAATTATTATTACAATTTAAAATATTCTAAAATGCAATTTATTCCTGTGATTATATGATTAATAATCACAAGTTCAAAAGAACATTTATTTGAAAAAATGTTCAAATGTATTTGACAAATATAAAATAAATTATTTGATCAAATTGAATGCATCCTTGCTGAATAAAGGTATTAATTGATAATTATTTATAATGTTAATTTAAAACAATACTGACCCCAAACTTGAACAGTAGTTACTATGTAATATTTTGTATTTTTAATTTATACTTAAAATGAATGGTCTGTTGTTATGCTGTAATATATTTTTCTTTTCTTTTTTTCTTGAGATGTGTAGACATAACACGTGTCTAGCTGAAAATATGAAAAAGTGTGTATTTATCTCTTTCTTTCTCTCTGTTTCTTTGGCAAATCACAGTTACAACGATTCAAAGAAGACATTGCAGCGAGCAGTTTTTATACTAGCTCGAATGCAATAGAAGAGGCCATTGAGCAGACTAAAGCCAACTTTAAATGGGTATCTGAAAACAAAGCGCACGTGATGAATTGGCTGATTGAACAGTCAGTCTAAAGGCATGTGTCAATATGAATATTCTATATATTTGTGTACAATATTTGACTCTTTTACAATATATATATTTTCTCCCTGTGAATTAATAGAGACTTTTTCTAATAAAGTCTGATTATCAGCTGTTCTGTGCCTCTGAACAAATTAGATAATTAAAATATTTTGTGGTATTTTATTACTCATTTATAATTCTGAAGTCAGTCTTTACTCAAATAATGTATATATTTGCATTTACATATTTTGCAATAAATATCAAATCTATTTATGCTCATAATCTCTAGTCTAATATTGTGAATGTCAACTTCAAGTAAAAAAGTTTGTAATTTTTCATTTAATTGTTGTGTGTGTGTGTGTGTGTGTGTGTGTGTGTGTGTGTGTGTGTGTGTGTGTGTGTGTGTGTGTGTGTGTGTGTGTGTGTGTGTGTGTGTGTGTGTGTGTGTGTAAAAATGTAGAAAGTTTTCTGTGAGAGTTGTGTTTGGGGTTAGGGGATAGAAACCCAACGTGTGTGTGCCTGGTAAACCCTACGTAATGGGGACCAAATGTCCCCACAAGTATAGTATAATACCAATCATTTTTGACCTTGTGGGACATTTTTGGTCTCCATGAGGAAAACAGCTTATGAATCAAATGAAATTGCTTTCTGAAAATGTATGAAATGCAGAAAATGTTCTGTGATGGTGCGTTTAGGGTTAGCATATACAGTTTGCACAGTAAAAAAAAAGTTTATTAAGTCTATGGATTGTCCTCATAATGATAGGAATATCAGTATGTGTGTGTAGGTGTTGTTGTTTCTAAAACATCTATGGAGGAAATTAATGGGAAACATACTTATTTTGCACATACAACTTGAAAAGTTAATGGTGGAATGGACCGCCCATAACACAGGCCAAGATGTAACAGCACATCAAAGCGTAACAGGACTTCTTGATTCTGTAAGATGAACGTGGTTAATTCTTCTGTGTCATTAGGGACTCAACAGAGGAAGTAGACAAGACTGCGCAAATGGGAGGAAGGGAGGGTGAGGAAGTCATTCATTATTATGGGGTCTGAAAGCAGCTGCAGACTTGTCACCTTTAAGACTCTTACAACATAAATGGACATTGAAGAACAGCTGTCACACACGTCACTAATGGTGCTTATCTTTAACAAAGTCACAGCAAGGCTTTCTTTGCAGTGCAAACTTATATGTATGTGGCATCCTGAGATACTCAACACACCGCCTTGTTGCTGGCACCATGGGTACTTAAAATCGACATGAAACGGTGGTTGCGATTATCTTGTATTATGTAGGCTTACAATGTAGATTGTGGACTTACTTTTGTCCATCGGGATTTGATTGGATGGTTGTGGTTTGCTATTGGTGGATCTCATGTGAGTGACAGGTTGTCCCGCCCTCACGCCAGTAAACACGTTATCAGAGAAGATAAGAGATGTCCCTGCAAGAGGGAGGGGGAGTTATTTTGATTAAAGATAACAATGGCACATGAATATAAAAAATATGGACAGAAAATTTAAAAATAAGAATTGTTCATTTTGATTTCATGGTGACTTTAAGATATAATAGGTCTATGTTGCATTATGAAACACATCATGTGAATGTTTACAGGCAAATGCAGAATTTCTTGAAAGAGGTACCAGACTCTTGCATTTCAGAGGAAGAGCCCCACAGAGCTTTGTTTACAATCTGAGGGGTATTAAAGGATCTCACCTGTGAGAGTTAGTTTACTATCCTGCCCACATTAATGCTCGCTCTGCAGGAGGGTTTCCTTAAACATGTGAATAACAACGAGGAATGGCCATCACCCAGCTGTCTCTCATTAGGATGCTGCTTTATGGTTTGTGTTGAATAAAGGGATCTCACACTATTGAAATCATTTGTATATAAAGTTAAAAAACGACTCAGACAAGTGATGTAAGATTTTTCAAGGCTTTATTTGCCGGGGGAAAAAATACAATTCATAAATATTCATAGATTTTTTTACATACAAAAATATAAATAGCTATACAAACATATAAAAAAATAAAGTCTTTAATTTTCATTATCTTACAGACATTGCACAGATTCATATTTGCATTCAGGTTTTACATTTCAGTCTGGTTTAATCAGATCAGCACTGTCCATGGAAGAAATTGTGTTGCTGGGGAATCCAAAATTCCTGAGCTGGGAATGAAAGGAAATCGCCTTCGACTGGATTCTGAGTCTGGAAAAATAAAATGCAGATCAAGTTAAGAAAAAGAACAGGAGCATTTTTCATATGTACCTTATTTTTATTGTTTTCAATTATTATTAATTATTAAATTATTACGTTTTTTTCACACAGTACAACAACCAAGATTATGATAGTTAACTAAAGCTAAAACCAAAACTAAAAACATAAAAAAAAAACATTTTTGTATACCTTGAAATAAAATACATGTTAACTAAAGATAAAATATTTATAAAAACTTATACTTATATTTAATTTTTTTATTATTGCCAAGGAAACATTTCTCATTTTCATTTAGTTTAACTTGATGTAGTAAAATAAATAAAAATAAAATAAAATTAATATAGACAAAAAACTAAATAAACAAAGCATAAACAAAAAGATAAAATGATAAAATATGGAAAATATATTTACATTGTTATTAATTTCAACTTTGAATAAAAAACATAATAGTATCTCAACGAAACTAAAATAACATCGACAACAATTAATGTACAATATTGCCTATAAAGTTTAAATTTACTACATATTTAAATAGTTCATAATAAATAGTAGTAGGCTAGTAGTAATAATAATAGTACTTTATAGTATATAAATAGTATTTAAGTAACATGTACTGTACATACCTGATAACAGGTCATAGATGGGAACTGCTGAGCTGGTAAACTTTGAGGAACTGAAGGGGCCGCACTGAAGTTGTCAAACATGGTTGATGCGGTGACGACCTCGGCCTGATTTCCACGATTTGCCTCGTCTTCACTGAATTCAAGCTGAGCAGACAGACTGGAGATGTACTGGATAGTGAGCCGTAGCGTCTCAATCTTGGTCAGGGTTTTTCCGGCAGGAGCCACTGATGGAGGCAGGTACGTCCTGAGATGCTGAAGAGCTTTGGTCAGATCCCTCATCCTCAGCTTCTCCCGTTCACTTGCGGTTTCCCGCTTCACTCCAGGGAATTTTGACCTTGGCCGCCCGGTTCTCTTGGTTGGCTGGCCCTTGTTCTTCTCCTGGGTGGTGCTGCTGTCGAGTGGGAAGACCTGAAGTATGTCGTGTCCCGCTCCGCAAGAGTATGCTGGAGGGGAGAAGCCACAGGAATCTATGGAAGAGGTTGGAGACAGGCTGCTACCGGCGCTGTAGTAGCCCGCATCTGATACGCCGTAGCTCGGATCCAGGATGTTCTCGCAGCCAAAAAGGAAAGCGCCGTTGTCTTGGAGCTGAAGAGCAGAACTGGAGATATCCATGGCTGTAGAGTTGCTGAATGAGGTTGTGGTTGCTGGTGGACCATGTTCTTCCTGTATATATCCTCCGTGAGGTGCGAGTTGGCACCTCTGAGGATTCCAGTCAGTACTTGAGAGGAGAAGTGACACCAGAAGTAGGGGGTCTGTGGGAAAGAGCAGCTTCTCCAGCCTCAGATCTGAGGTGTGACGTCCAGAAACAGCCCGAGCACACAACCCTTGAAAGTTTAAATGATAGATAGATAGATAGATAGATAGATAGATAGATAGATAGATAGATAGATAGATAGATAGATAGATAGATAGATAGATAGATAGATAGATAGATAGATAGATAGATAGATGGATAGATAGATAGATGGATAGATGGATACTATAGTAGAGCAACTACATTGAATATTTGTACTTCAAATTCAATTATCATTATAAGTAATTATATATATATATAATAATTATAAGCTAAAATGTGGTTACAAATACTGAAAAACATACGCAATACTGACCAGTTACATCACATTCCCTTATAGATAAATATTTGAACCTACATCCTGATGCCCAGGTTATTTGTTAAAGGGATAGTTCACCCAAAAATGAAAATGTTGTCATTACTTAACATCAAGTTGTTTAAAACCTGTATGAGTTGACACAAAAGAAAATATTTTAAAGAATATTGGTAATCTGACAGTTGACAGCACCCAATGACTTCCAAAAATACTAAGGAAGTCAATGGGTACCGTTCTGGTTACTAACTGGTTACTTTAAAATATCTTCTTTTGTGTTCAACAGAAAAAAGAAACTCATACAGGTTTGAAACAACATGAGAGTGAGTAAATGATGACAAATTTTTTATTTTTGGGTGAACTATCCCTTTAACTACCTACAACGAGTTGAAATGTTAAATGCAGAACAGTTCTTTAGTCGCATCAGCATTTCAGAGAAGTTTTGCTTTAGTGCAGCACTCTCTCTGAAGCTGACCAGCCGTAATGAAGAACTTATATCTGCGCTTATGTGTATGCCTCATGAACAGTCCAGAGTATCTGGATATTTCAAGGTCAGTGCGGACAACATGTTTGATTCAGATATCAAATCCAAATCCTCCACTGACTGACAAACAAACACAGTAGCTCTACCAACAGAAAGAACATAGTTGATCTGGCTTCTATCAAAATATGTGTGGAGAGGACCATGAGAAAAACACAATCACATCACAGCCATTCCTCAATTTAACATGATTAACACCACTTTGATTGCATTCTTAGCTAGACATGAAATTTTGACCTCAGGGGTCTGAATATGACACCTTCTTAGGGCTCCTGTAGTGATGAAGCAGATGATGGTGGTGGACGAGATCAGTGACCGCAGTTCCCACAAACAGAAGTGTCGCATTTGACTCCTGCATCAACAGAGACACACATACGCACAATTATATGCATTTTAATGTTATCTAAAAGGTTTTAGCGATGTGCTCAAAAAATGTGACCACAATTGATGCTTTTAAATTATTTTACATATCAATTTTAACTAGATTTAAGATCGTTTCTCAATGTTTAGTTTCTCAATCACAGGTGTGAAGTTACACCTCAGAAATGTTAACAGGAATCCAAGTTCTCATGTATTTCAACATTATTCCTGACAGGCATTTTGGTTTTCAGCTAAAAAAAATAAAAAAATAAACTTAACTGTTTTGGCCGTTCATTTAGCCTACTCGACAATAGCGTTTTGGGGGCCTGAAAACACAAACATTTGAAAACAGGATTCAAAGTGCAAGTTTTTGAAAAATACACCGTTGTCTATAGAACCATTAAGGGTTCTGGTGCTTCATATATAGAACATTTGAGGGGTTCCCATCATGGGATCATTTTATGGATTTAGTTCTATATAGAACCCCATGAAACATTTTTTTCTAAGAGTGTAGATTGCAGATATGGCATTAAAATGTAATAAACCTGATTAACCTACCAGAATGAGAGGGTGTCATTTCTAACCTAATTTGGGGGATTTCCTCTAACTTAGTTTAACACCCATGTGATTATGAGCCGATTAACACGTGATTGTTACACATTCACACATTTTAATTGTGTATTTGCCTTCCAAGATGAAAGAGCTGAATGTGTGTATTTGACATTGGGATTTGCACATCAAATATCCCTTATTAGCTGCCAAAATAAACTTTGTGGGCTAATTCCACAACATACTGTAATTCACACACAACTGTTCTATGCATTTAAAATGCAGCTCACTCACAGTCACATTATGTAACGTGAGGGGGGTCTCAAAAGCTAGATTTAGGCTAGACTTAGTGGCGTGAATGGCTTTTCACATGCAGTTGAACTTCATTAGCAACAATAAGCTTCACTTGTCACCATCTGAATACACACCACATCTGAAGGATCATGCCTGGTGCTTAGATGGAATCTACAACACACAAAATAACTAATATTTGTGACCATCAGAGGTCAAAGTAATTTCCTTTCTGGTTATTGTTTTAGTTAAATCATCCAGGATGTCACATTTGCTTCGCTTATTATGATGCAGCCCTGTGCCAGATTCAATAGCTTTGCTTTTACCAGATTCTTTGAAACAGAACATATCAGACATTCTCTGGTTGCAACACATTTTAAACAGGGAAACAGATGTGAAAACATCGAATGAGGGTGAAATATAGTCCAAAAACTCGTACAAATCCATTATGAACAGTTTTGCCCAAATACTTAAGATCTACTCTTAACTTGTGTTGTTTTCTGAGGGAGCCTGAATGTTGGGGGATGTATTAGTGCTTAGAATAAACTACTTTTGGCAGTACCATGGTACAGTTGTGTACCATAGGGTAATATTTTGATATATATATACCTTTGTTCCGAATGATTACCATAGTATTTACAGAGCGCTCCAATATGCATGGAAATAGAGAACACTGAAGGACACTGAATGTCCAGAAACCTTGCCATTATATACACTACTATGCTAAGGTTTGGGGTTGGTACGATTTTTGAATGTTTCTGAAATACATTAATTTACAAAGATTTTTTTTTCTGTTTTAAAATATTTTAAAATGTAATTTATTCCGGTGATGGACAGACTGATTTTTTTTAGCATCATTACTCCAGTATTCTCTTCAGTGTCACATGATCCTTCAGAAATCATTCGGCTGATTTGCTCAAGAAACATTTCTTCTCATTATCAATGATGAAAATAATTTTTTGCCTGATTCTTTCTTCAAAAGAACAGCATTTATTTTAAATAGGGTACAACATTTGTGTTTTTGTCAGTGTAAAGGTCTTTACTGTCACTATCGATCAATTTAAATGCATCCTTGCAAAATAAAAGTAGGCTGTGCTGTATGTCCATTTACCATAATAGTGTGGTAAAAAAAAATATCCATAGTCTTACAACAAAATTGTCGTAAAACAGTCATAAATCAACAAACTATAGCCTATATTCACAACGCGGATGAAAATGTTTACTTTTTTGCTTTTGAAAAAGTACTATTCTTTTACACACCAAGACGTATACTGACATCTAGTGGCAGGTTTTTGGATTATACTTGGATTTATCAAATTAATCCTGAATACGGGAGTAGTTGAGGAGCATGTTGGGATATGTAGGCTAGTTTTCCAAGCACGTTAGACATGTTCAAGTTATAGCTAAGTATGATGTGTATTTTGTTTGCTTTATGCCAAATATGTGCCATATATTACTCCTCTCTCTTTCCAACATTTAGGTGGTAGAAACCATAAATTAATTAGTGACAAAATACTATTTGTGTCATATAGCTAGATGGTATGATGGCTTCTATAAACATATAATTGACCATAGTGTACATTTATGCCACTTACAAATTGCCTGGAGATGAGCGCGCTCCCGCTTCACTTTATAGCGATCTGCCACGCCATATTGGAAGCGCCAAAACGATAATTTGTTGTTTGAATTTCGTAATTAAACTTAAAAAATATGAAAGCTGAGGAGGCTTTTGTGATTTAGCCATAGGGATTTAGCGCATTGTCTGTGTCCTCTTTGCTCCGTGATCTTTTTCACTGCATGACAAAATGGACGTGTGTTGCGAGAGCGCTGAATGCGCGAGAGTTGGCAACCTTTATATCGTGTCTTTAAATAAAGTAGCAAAATAAATGTGAATATGTTTATATTGTTAAAAACACAACAGAAAACTTTGTTAGGATATTTTCTTGCTGCTGCAGTAGCCGCTACGTTTTAGCCTATGCATTTTTATAAAACTGTTCACTTCAAATGTTGAGATTTTCTACACAATGTATTTAGCAGACATTATACTTAATATATATTTATTTTTAATAAATAAACATATGTTTGCAACTTAACTGTACAATGTTTATAACTATTTAGCCGTTTGTAGGCATTTTATTAACTGTAAATAAAATAAAAAGTTCAATAACCTTTTTAAAGAAATTGTACAGTCATTCAGATGTAATTCTATAAGCATGAGGATACCATAACATTTTAATATAGCCTAATATTTAAAGGAAACATTAGCCTTACAACACAACAGACTTTTTTCCCCTCAGCTGAGTGACGTCAGAGCCAGTGTGACATCATAATGAGTTCGATTATTTAGTCGCGCGTTATTGCAACTCTTTACTCATTTACTGAGTTTGTAGCTGCTTTAGTGTGATTGATACACAACAGCGATTCATTATGGGACAAAGAAGTTCACGAGTACAACCGTTCACGGATAGCGAGCAGGTTCACGACCTCCATCACCGTGACCGCACACCAGGCTCAAACCCCAGCAGCTGCACGGCGGAGAAACATCTTCCTCATCGGCCTGACGAGAAGAAGCCTAAGGGAGAGGCAGCCCAGCCTCCCATCTCTCGTCTGAAGAGGAAGAAAAAGAAAGTGGGTGACTTCAACATCTTTAAGAGTCTCTCCTTTAGATGGAAGAAAGAATCCACCAAAATGAGCTCAGATCAGAGTGAGATGAAGGATCAAGAGACGGAAACATCCAGGAGAATTACCGACGGTAAATGACAACCATGTTATGAGAATATATATTAAATATCCTACATGAAAAAGTCACTTAATTTACACTTAAATGAGTAACGGCAACTTTTCTGCCCTTAGGATGGTTTTAAACAGACTTTTTTTTCTCTCTATAGGCTAATAAAATAATATAAGTAACCTCAAAAGTGTAAAAATTTGTAATATTATACTTTGTACTTTAAAAATCAATAGGTGAACAATTAGTAATTTACTTTAATATCAAATAATCGCTTTTCCTAATAAATCAGTATTTTTAGTTTTTACCATTTAATGGACTGCTAGCTAACTTGTGCTGATATTCTCCTCTTTAGATCAAAAGTCTCTACAGTGCATCTCTAGATGTGTAGAGGTCATTGATCTCGAGGAACCTCCTGTCGATGATCCTGAAGTCCTTCCCGCTGCTGAGCCTCTGGTGCAAGAAGAGCTTCAAACTCAAGTCCACGACGCTCCAGTCCGTCTGACAGCGGGTGAAACGTCTCCTCTCCGTAACCAAGAGAACATGAGACCTGAGGGTGAGTTTCCTGCCACAGTCCTCAACAATAATCTCACAATATTTGCAAAGCACCACTAAACATTGTCTTCTTCTCTTCATCTTTTAACAGACGACATTTGCTGCCGATATACAATTGGCCGTAAGCTGGGGCAAGGTGGATTTGGTGCCGTCTATGAAGGCACTCGTTTGGCGGATGGCCAGAAGGTTTGACTTTTTAAAAAAACTTACCACTACTAGTTTAGCGAATTGTTTTTGATCTGAATTATTTCTCATCCTTTGATCTCTCACTTTATCCTATGCAAGACATCTTACTGTATCATATATTCACTAGTTATGGCTCTTCTTGACCTGTTAGGGTTTAAATTATTGCTTGGAATTTATGATATGATCTCTACACACATTAATTGCTTTTTGTTTTGTCCATCAGGTGGCAGTGAAATTTATCCTAAAGACGGAGTGCACAGAATGTATCAGCATTGTGAGTAGTAGTGATTTTTCAGCAGACAAACTGAGTTAAATCCCTATTTAAAACCATCTGACATCATATAATGTTTCTTTCTTCCAGCCTGATCATCCCAACCCCCTTCCCAAAGAAGTCGCTCTGACAATCCTGGCCAGTAAAAACGGTCCAGCGATGGACATCATCAAGCTGCTGGACTGGCAGGACCAGCAGGACTTCTACGTCATGGTCCTCGAGCGTTTCTCGCACTGCATGGATGTGTTCGACTACGTGGCACGCAGCGGCGGCCGCATTGAGGAGAAGTATGCGCGGCACATCATGTGGTCGGCAACACTAGCCGCTGATGCGTGCTGTCGCCGTGGAGTTTACCATGGCGACATCAAATTAGAGAACCTGCTTATAAACGTCAAGAACCACGATGTCACACTCATTGACTTTGGATCCGCCGATTTCCTGACAGAATCTCCCTACACGAGTTACCGTGGTGTGTATTAGTTCTCAAAACTCTTGTGAATCAGTTGACTCAGCACTCGTATGCTAATGCTGTGGTAGAGACTTACACATCAGACAAACACTCTTTCCTCCAGGCACAGATTTGTACTGCCCTCCCGAGTACAGAATGAAGGGCGAGTTTCACGGAAAGCCGGCGACGGTCTGGTCTCTGGGGATCCTCTTGTTCAGAATGGTGTGTGGATACTTTCCAGATAGTTTCGACTTCTACAGCACCAATATGAACACCTGGTACAAACCTGGCTTGACAGAAGGTGATTTGTTTATTACTTCAAGTACAATTCTAATGCAAAACCTCATAGGCTGCTTTATAGGAGGTGGCTGTATAGATAATGCAGGAATTTGTCCCGGGTGTCTGACCTGGAGATCTCACAGCTTAGAATGATGAAAGTAGAGCGGATGTAAAGTTGACGGTAATAATCAGACGTCTCTCCATCTTTCTCACAGATTGCTGCGAATTGATCTCCTCCCTTCTGCAGCAGAAGCCAGAGCGTCGGCTTGATCTGGACAGGATCATTCAACACAAATGGTTTTAGGTACTGTGCCATGAGCTGAAAACTATTTAAGATGCATTTTGAATGATTGATGAAAAAATCCACCAAAACAAGAGCTCAGGATGAGATGAAGGACCTGAGACGGAAACATCCAGGAGAAGTACCGACGGTAAATGACAACCATGTTATGAGAATATTGAACTCTATGTTGTTTCCTGGAGCTTTCACTTCATAATTTACACCTAAAAATGATAAACTGGAAGTTTTCTCACCTGTTCTTAGTGTAATTCATTTTTTCAATAAAACTCATTTGTGTTTTATTTGTTCCAGGTGTAAGATCGGTCACAGTCACTCCAGAAGTGTGTGTTCAGCCGTGTGTCCGGCGCACTGAATCGACTGGACTCTCCATCATCCGCTTTAGCCTCTTGCATTTTGGCGTGAAGCAGCAACATTAGCATCTGACGCTATTGCTTTCAGAAGGATGTGGAAATAAATCATTGCACTTTTGTAAATACAAAGAGAGTTGATTAGTTCCTCTGAACAGCCGCAGAGGTTCCTGTCAGAACTTCAGAGATCTACTGTCAAGTCAAACAAAAAAAAAGTTATTAGAGATGATGTTACATACAGTGTCTTCAATTTAAGATTTGCCGCATAAAATATTATATCAATAATCATATAATATATTATAAAATGTATCTATTGTTACTACTGTAATGCCATATTACATTTTTATGGCATCTCCTTCAAAGCTTCCAGATTCTATCATTTTTAAATATTTATTTTAATATAGATTTATTAATTATTATTTATTAGTTAAAATAAACAGAAAATAGTACACACTTTGCTGAAGTGATTGTTTTGAAAAAGTATTCGATGCAAAACATAGTACTTTAGCTAAAGTGTTTGCCTTTTGCCCCATCCTGGTGATTCTTTGACCTCCAGAGAGCAAAGCCCTCCTCGCCACCTCGCACATTTATAGGATTTTTAGGTGAAACACACCACTTTAAAATTTTATTTTCCGACAAAAAACTTTTGATCCATCAATGTTCAATTAAAACATAGGACTACATATTTTTCTGCAATCATTTAGAAAAACACATGTGCTATTTAGCTCAAAGAAAGAAAAATACTTTTCAAATAATGTCGTAAACTATACAGAGAACCATGTCATGATGAACTGTTATTAAAGGTTAATTAACAACTGTTAACAGCCTAATAATACTTTTATAATAATAATAATAATGTTATAACTTTTTAATGTAAAAATAATGAATATGTAAAATAGTCCTTTTGTCGCATAATGCTCCTCTAGAATTATTTTTTCTCGCTAAATACAGTTTATGGCCACTGAATGGCTTTTCTGAGGTAAATGTAACATTATGTGACATTGTATAGGCTCCATGTTGAAACTGCATGAGAAAATGGACGTGTGGTGCGAGAGCGCTGAGAGCGAGAGTTGGCAGCTCTTTTTTTAAATAAGGCATTTATTAATACTCATAAACATTTCATTGCCATTAAAGTAAAATTACTGAATCTAAACATAGGCTAAAAAAAGCTCATGAAAGAAAAATGTCAGACGGACTTGCATCTGAAATGTGTGTATGTATATATATATATACAGTACAGTAAAGCATACACACACACACGCAACACTTTTAATGAACATAATAATAACTAAAATTCAAAAATTTTAATCAACACCATGCAATGTAGGATCTGTAAATATCCAAAAAGGACAAGAACAAAAGAAACTATTTTAAAAATGTTTTATTATAAATACATATCAAATATAGTTTTGTATTTACAGAGAACAGACATTGATAACACATACAACTTAAATTATAAGAATATCAGGATTAACTTGGGTTCACATTTATTGCTCTCACAAGATAGGATGCCAAACGTCCACATGTACACATTTACTGTACACAAAACACAGTAGTAGGTATCAGTCTTGCTTTGGATGTGATGGAGAGGTTTCTGCTGTCAGCTCCAGTTTCCTTGAGGAACAAGATGATAGCCTAAGTTTCTCCCATAAACCTGAAATAGAGGATAGAGAATTAATTAGAGACATCTCGCATCTAAAAAAAAATATACAATTCAATTTTAAACTTTAAAATTCCATTTTAAAATATATTCGAATAGAAAACAGTTGTGTAATATTTCACAATATTACTGTTTTTACAAGGTTAGAGTATAGGCCAGGGACATATTGGCCTATATATATATATATATAAAACTAATGATAGTTGCGACAGAAGTGAATCAATCAAAACTAACTTTAGCTGGACAATAACATTTTTCTAGAGCTGCTGTAAAGCCAAAACAATCTGTTACTTTAATTTCCTATTATCACTGTAAAGCTGCTTTGAAACAATCTATATTGTTAAAAGCGCTATATAAATGAAGGTGACTTGACAATACATCTACAATTTAAAAATATACATTTTTACATACCTGGTATGTCTGTGTTGATTGAGCACACTGTTGTGACTGGACGAAACCGTCTATATTTGCAGAGACGTTTTGCTCTGTTGAATGTTGCTGTGGATACTGATCCACACATTGCACTGTATGACTTGGTTTTCCCTCATACTGTCCATCACAGTGACCGTGACACTGTCCCGGCCCGACGCAATCTCCAGCCATAGACCTGCACTGAAAATAGCCAACGATCTCTGGAGAATATGAGCAGCCGCTGGAGTTGTGCTTCAGCTCTTCGGCACTCAGACCCAGCTGAGCTGACAGAAACGAGATGTAGCCTATGGTGAGCCGGAGCGTCTCAATCTTGGTCAGGGTTTGGCCCACGGGAGCTACGGACGGAGGCAGGTACGTCCTGAGATGGTGGAGGGCTTTGGTCAGATCCCTCATCCTCAGCTTCTCCTTCTCGCTGGCGTTCTGCCGTTGCTCGCTTGGGTTCTTCAGCCTTAACCTGCGCTTTCTCTTGTCGACACATGTAGATTTGACCGATTTGGAGCATGCAGGCTGGGTCCGGTGGGACGGGGAGAAGCCCTGGTCTGTCGAGACGGTGTCCGGAGAGGAAACGCTGTACAACTCCGACTCCGAGCTTGAATAGATCCACTGGTTCTGCTGGCTGCGGCTTGAGCTTTCCATATTGTGACCCTTGAGTGTGAATGAAGGCTGGACTGAGGGCTGGAGGTTTATATGTGGGACTCAGAGGTGCGAGGTGACACCTCTGCAGGCTTACGGTAGCCATCGCTGTCTCTCAGACCACAGGACTCGGCCTGGGTCTGTCTGGGAAAGGCTTGGAGAGGCCACAGGAGCAGAGGTGTGAATTTTGACTCCTCTTCAAAACAACAAACCAGTGCAGCTATTCTTCCAGTGAACTGATCTTGTACATCTGAACAAACAATGTATGGTTTCTCTTTAATCTGATTTAATGTATCTATGAAATTCATCTCTGATGAATCACAAAAAAATGGGTGAAAAAAGTATTCAATTCTGTATGTGTAAAAAGCACTATCTCACATAAAAATTGTCATAAAGCAAAAAAAATACAGCAATCACACCAATAAACATCTAATGTTAAAATTTTAAAGAAATTAATACTTTTATTTAGCAAGCATTAAATTAAAGGAAAGTAAAAAAGGCAAAATATTTATACTTCAAATAAAGCTGTTCGTTTGAACTTTCTACTCATTTAAAGATTCTTAAAAAAAATGCTGCATGGTTTCCACAAAAATACTGTTTTCAACATTGATACTAATACGAAATGTTTCTTGAGCAGCAAATCAGCTATCAGAAGGATTGCTGAAGGATCATGTGACACTGGAGACTGGAGTAATGATCAGTTTTTGATCAAATAAATGCAGCCTTGGTGAGCATAAGAGACTTCTTTCAAAAACATTTAAAAAATCAGGCCGACCCTAAACTTTTTAACAGTAAGTAACAATATTTCAATAGTAATTTTTTAGGTTAAACTAGAAAGGTAAAACATTTGAGCTGAGTCGTTTGATAAATTCCACTAAAGTAAGCAGCCTATTATACAGTATATTATATTTAAGAGACAGTCCCAATCAGCCCAATAATTCAAAACCGCTGCTAATTGTCTGTATGGGGTTGTATTTCAAAGAGCTAAGCAGAGTAACTGACCTTAATGATGTTTAATGATGCTTAATAAACTCCATTAGCAGATTGCACTTGAGGTGTGACATTCACACAAACCGGCGACCAGTTTTGCAGTTTAGTGGTCAAGATAGTCATTCGCCCAGTGAAGTGGGTCTCATTCAGAGATTCAAAGTGATAATGAGAAGAAAAAAAAATATGATTTGATTTATCAGTATAACCTTTTTTATGTATATATAAATACTTATATTTATATATTTTATTTCTTTTTATTAAAAAAACTAATTTTATATTTTAAATAAAATTAATGTGAAAATATAACATAAATTTACAATATGCAGACTGCCGTTCAAAAAATGTGAGGTCTGTAAAAGATTTTTTACAGTCTTTGAAAGAAGTCTCTTATGCTCTCTGCATATTTTTGATTTAAAATAGGTAAAAACTGTAAAATTGTGAAATATTTAACTTTAAATGAATCCTTTAGAAATCATTCTAATATTGAGCACTGACTGTGAGCACACGTTTTAGTTGAATGTATTTATTTAGATTACAATAGATTGGATATTTTAATCTATTTAGATTTAGTGGTTTAGTGCTAAAAAAAGTTCAGTTTGTGGAAATCCCGATACATGTGTTTTAGGGTTCTATGATTAACAGAAAGTTCAAAAGAGCAACATTTATTGGAAACAAAAATCTTTTGTAGCATTATAAATGTCTTTATTGTCACCTTTTATCGATTGAATGCATCATTGCTGAATAAAATTAGAATAGCCTACACGGCGTCTCAGAATCTGTTTAGAATAGTAGGCTACCCTAATGTGAATTGTGGGGTGTGCTTGTTAGCCTGTTGCCGTGTGGTTGCTAGGGAGTTCTGGATGATTGTTGAGGTAAATACTAGGCGTTTACTTACTGTTTTGATTCCGTATGAAACTAGGCTACTGGAGAGCCTTGAACGCATGTCGAAGCAGGAATGCCAGACAATTCAATGCGCAGAAGCCCGTATCTGCTGGAAAGCCAGGTAAAATTAAGCGCATGTCCCTGCAGTTAACATGATCTGCAGTTGATCCATAAATAACACCTGGTAGAATGTGTGTCATAGCGATGGCGTTAGTGGTCGCGAGACTGCTTGAACGTCGACGCAGAAAAATAAAGAGTATTAGCTGGTGAAATGTATTTAACGTTAGCCTACTTATTTTAACAAGTTATAATTAGCATTGTAAGGTTTGAAGGATGTCATGACAAATGTCAATAGACCGGGAACATTTTAAAACGAGCGGTTCATTCATTAATCCGTAAGATCTTACCTACATGCAGTGGAAATAAACCTGAAGACAGAAAACAAGGAGCAGCACTGAAAATGGGCTACTTACTAGTAACTTAGTAATTTTTCTGTCATCTTTGCAAGACTGTGAAATAAAGAGTGCATTGTAACATTTTAGCAACTGTGTGAAAGTGAATAGCGCATAACAGGCACAATACCGTCCATAATGATTATCTATTAGTATTGGTACAATATGCGTCATCATTTTCAAATAGGCCTACCTGTTTTCACAGTCCACACTACAACGCGAAAACGCCATTTTCAAATCCACTTTGGAGAACGTTTTCAAAAAGCTTCGTTTTCAATAATAAAAACACCATCTCAGTGTGGACGGAGAGAAAAAGATGCATTTTCAAAAGAAAACGTATTAGTGTGGTTAAGGCCAAAGACGCAAAAAGAAAAATCTCAACAAAAACGAAATATCAAAAGACCAGATTATGAGCGATAAATGAGCGGTGAGTACATTTGATGCCACTTTGGCTCTACGGACCGTCCTGGATGTGTGTGAATAAAATCACACTGGGAAACTAAATCAGTCTCACCGTCACCGAACAGCTTTTCCATATTAGCCATAATTAAATTTCCAAAGATCTTATCATGTCAACCACCCTGGGGTTTTTAAATGATACAAATTAGCATTTAATAGTTTTGATTTGTGTGCCCTCCTATAATGTAACCAGGTACCATTTTCAGGATCCATTTCTTGAGAACTAATTCTCTGATGACCTCTGTAACCAGCACTGTGACCTCCAGGCCACCCTCTCTGTGAGAGTGAATGAGCAGCGTGCTAGATTTGGCACCTCCTCACTGCAGAAGAATGAGTGAAGCTGCCACCTGTGTGTGTCTTTTCACTTTCTTCAAATCAAACTCCCACAGAAACTCAACTAAAATATATATTCCTTGTGCTTTTTTGCAGGGGCAGCATATATGATAACGCATTTGCACATTTGGCAATTTGCATGTTACCATGCTTTGATTTTTTACTGTGTCCTGGTGTAGCAAAGTGAGGACGTTCACACCCTTGGTATGAAATGCGACAAGCAATTTAATCACAGGGTTGATATAAACCAAGAAACACATTGTGCGTGAATAATACTGTCATTGCACAAGCAAATTGCTTGTATTGAATCTCTGAAAATATTGCTGATGATGGTTGCCTAAAGAAATAAATGGAGCTGTGCTAAGAGGTAAACATTATGCAGCCAAAAACATTGTTTTATTTAGGAAATTAATAATACAAAAAAGGAAGAGTTGCCTAAAATGCACAGCAATTAATCTAGTAAATCTGGTGAAAGACTTATCTAGATTTTTGTTTCACACCTTTGCATAAATAAATGACCATCACAAGAGGTGTGACTGATTCACACGTGTGCCCTGGCCTTGTTTTCACAAGTGCCTTTCCATGTGCCCATACTCACCGAAAAGCATGGGAACTTTCTCCAAGACCAAAATACTGTGGTTTTCCCATTTCAATATATTCTGGTGGGAAAGAACATGAAGCACTGAAGAGCAAAATTATAATGTTTTATATATTTTTTATTGTTATACCATCACAAAACCAGGACAAACAAAACAAAAAGGTAAACTGATCTTTTCTTATTTGAACATTACATATAAAAAGATTTTCTTTTAGATTTCTCTTGACATAAAGCTGTTCGGAGTTGTTGTAGCATTTAATCAGTGTTGATGTATAGGAGATGTATAAGAGGATATTTGAATAGCATTTTCTGTGGTCAAAAGTGGAAAACAAGTAGAAAGTATAATTTGTGAGCCATACCTACATATTTAGTATTCACACACTTTTAAAACAGAGACAAATAAAATCAAAATCACATAATCTACATATTTTCTCACAGGAAATGAGCATTATACATACTTCACATATAAGTCCATTTTAAAAATGTCTATTTTCATACAAACAATGTAATTTTGATGTAGCGTGATCGTCTTCTAATGAAAGGCATGACAAATAATAGTTGAAAAGATGGGAATCCAAAAACGTTAGAATTAAAACACAGTGAAAATGTAATTGTCTAATGTGAAATAAATATATACCACAGTAGTTAACAAATACAACACAACAAAAACTAGCTGATGACCAAAAGTTGTTGAGCGGGTGAAGTTGGAGATGCAAAACTCAAATTTTACATAATAAATAAAAGTAAAATGCAGAGATCTCATTCAAAGATTGAACTTACAGTCAAAGTTATTATTTGTTCCAATATAAAAAAGGGAATTTGATATCACTACTCGCCTCTAAATCATTTTGTAGCAAAGATATTGCCCCATATTTCCACATTTTGGATTTCTTACTAAAAAAATACAGCCACTGTGAACAACATAAACATCTACATCTCTATAAGTAATACTATGAATACTACAGTAATACTACAGTACAGTGGTTCTAACATAACACTGTTTCAGCTTCACATGATTCAGCCCTTTTCCTGTCAGTGTTCATCAGACTAAGCATGCGGTCATCCAGTGTCCAGCTGGACCAAACGCTGAGGCCATGAGGAGTTTGGCTTTTTCATTGAAGAATGACCTCCCGAGTCTCAGGTAGCTTAAATGCTAGCAGTCCTCCGCACACTAGCGCTGAGAAGGACAGGATGATCGGGATAATCTTGGTGATGCCGATAAACTTGCCAAAGATGAAAGTGCTAATGATAGCTGCCAGTTTACATGTGCCATTCAGCACACCAAAAGCTGTGGCTCTGTGGAAACAAGAGATTGATTAATGAGCAAAGTATGAAAAGAATAAGTACATACTTTACACTCTTAAAAACAAAAGGTTCC